CAGGGGAGAATGTCCAGTCTGAGGTGCAGTGGTGGGTGGCTGGTAGGAAGCGATACAACCCCACGCCCCATACCGGGAACAGTGAGATGACAGCTTAAACAAAGAGAAGTTGAGTTGTATTAAATACAAAATGACGTCGACAAAAGTGTTGTTTTGTCCAGTTCTTCATTTACCAGAACCACAGGAATGATAATTCCTCGGGAGGTTTTACCATTTAAGGCAAGACACTTTTTCATTCCAACTTACATATTTGGTACAGTCTACCTTTACCTGGCCTTATGTTTGTCTGTTGCTCAAATTCCTGCTCAACTTTACCATCATATCAACTTGCAACACTGACAGCTTGACATGTTTATTCCATGTTAACTAATAAAGTAATTTCATTTCATTTGTTGATTAGAACCACACTGGTCAAACTATGTAGAAAGTAAATTATCCATACCTGCTGCAAGCCACGTCAATACCAGCATCACCTTTGCCCGGCGCTGCGTCATTATCACTTGGTAGTCTAATGGATAGACTATCGTACAGTACCTGTTGAAAAAGAAAAATATACTACTTGATAAGGGTACTAAAATCAGTAAACTTTTGAAATTTTTGCATGATTAAGATGCAATTTGATAGGATGTGCAGATAGTCATAGAAAAACCTCTTTCGAGAGGTGTGATTCTAAATGGTGGGCTGGTCGCCTTCGGCTTGTCACCCGAAACCCCTAAACCAGTCCCGAAAGGTTCACCGGGAACTGCACAGTAATGGTGTGATCGAGTCTACAACGAGCGTTTCTGTACTAAATTCGGTCGACTCTGGCATTTGCACGGTACCAGACCTAGGAATTATCTGCTTAGCTGCTCTTTTGTGAGAACCGTGATGGAGTAACTGCATGCGCTGGCCGACCATCAACCGACTTTTGGTTAATTGGCTTCCAATCCGTGGGTGTCTGTGAGTCAGTTCCAAACGCGTGATATCACCCAATAATCAATAGGCCCTAATCAGTGTTAAAGCCGTTCAAAAGCCTATCCGTACTTTCAAAGCGAACGGCAAACCGTCGTAACTTGCACCACCAGTTTGCAATGTTACATAACCTGTATGTCAGTCAAAGTTTGAGATTCTGCATGACGTCTGAAGTCAATACTAACTCACCTATCTATTGAGACACAAGCTACGGACAGCGTGGAGGCTAAACAGAGCGTCTGACTGACAAATGCAGTCAGTTGGCACACGGTGTCCCCTAATAGCCAGTGGTCCGTGTCCCTGGACACCATGGTGATGAATGCAAAGGGCATGTCCAGGACGCCCCTAAGGAAGTCTGTGGCTGCCATATTCATCATGAGCATTGCTGAAACAAAGGATGGAGAAAGAGTTAAGCTTCGAGACAAAAGGAGACAATGTAGTGACCTCTATACTAATATTACTACTATACAGTCATGACAAACGGGTAGTGGGCGACGCAGGGGAGAGGAGAGATTGGAATGTTACCAGTTGGTACTATTGTATTCCAATCAAAATGACAATATCCAACAAATAAAAGCATAAACCCTTAATTGTATTAACTTAAGTTGTGACGTTTCAGTAAAGATCACACAGAGAAAAAAGACAATTTGAAAAGTTTTTGACAATTTCAAAAAGAGCAAACAGCAGAACGCAGTCAGGAATTAACGCCACGACATAAAACGACCAGAATGGAGCAAACACTGCTCCTGGGAGGTTTAATCGTTTTATTTCTCAGTCAGCATAAAATGAAGGACCGAATCTCACCAAAGTTATACTTGCAACTTAAACTGGACATTTCTGAATTTGAGCAAATCGTTCTGGGATTGGCTGCCTACTTCTAAAAACACTCTTCTGTCTTTAATGCGTCATTATTCACACCTCAGGAATTAATAAATCCGTCAAAAAATAATCAATGTATTTATCTCACATTTTAATCAGTGTATGTAACTGCAGTGCTTAATCTCTCTGCGGGGGAACCGAATCAAAATCATTTAAAACACCGACTGTGATATGATACATCCTTTGGTATTGTATTTGTTTCACACTATTGTCCCTCTCTAATAGTGAACTCACCTGTTACGGGCTCAGTGTTGCGCGTGTTGTAGGTGACCCAACAAACACCCATGTTGCCAACTATTGACAGCACTATCATCATCCCAAGAGCAATGGATTTCAGCGTAAGTTCAAAAGACATGATGTGCATAGTGCTCATTCCAAAAGAAAGAAACAAAATACTACAGTACAACTTTGAATTCGAGGCTGTTGGGGCACTGGTTCCTTACACCAATGGTACATCTGCGTCCAATGATAAATTTTCTCTTAATCGATGAAATCCCACTGGAAAAATAACGCACAGAGATTGTTTTCAAACGGAATACTTAGAATTTTTATTCAATCGACACTTGGTGCAGTATCACTCAATTTCGGTTGGTTTAATTTCTTGGAGGAAAATCCCAGTGAAGTAGGATGCTTGAAGTGGCTACTCCAGCGAACACCTACGGGTAAAGAACTGGCCAAGAACAGGTTAACTTTTCAATATGAAAGACGTGGCTGGCTCTCTGTCAATTGATTTTGAAGCCTAGTCGGTTGGAGCAATTGCGGAAAACGACAAAGGGAATCGAAGAGGTACGCCCTCAAGTCCAGTCTTAAAACTGTGTATTGAATGGTCCCTTTATGTCCGCGCTGTTTACCACGCATGAAGGACCGTGATAGAGACACATTAACGTAAGACTGGAAAGTGAGAATGATGGATTTCCATAATCGGGTTGCAGATGTGGCATCCGTTCATCGACAAGAACCACAAGGACTACCTCTTCCGGAAGAAAGATTCGCTCCAAGATGCAGTAATAGCTTGGGCTGAGTCAGTTGTACACCTATCGGCTTAGGTTAGGAACTTGATTTCGCGACACTGCGTTCTAAAACGCCATTTTCGACGAATTTCAAAGACCGACCAACAGCGGGTTTCTGATGTCAACGACTTGCTCTTCCTTTAGTCTGCATGGCTTTGTACTTCCGAATCTGCGGGACTGCCTTATAGGAACTTGCATCAAACAACCTGAAACCCCGGTCGTCTTATTTATGGCAAGGGTAGCCATGACAGCCTACATCGTTAACGACGAAAGCCCGTCATGCGTCATGGTCATATTAAGAGAATCCTCCGTCATACCCGGCTTCCTCATTAGTCCAAAAGGAATCCTTGTTAAACCGGATCCTTGGTTTTTTTTTTGTTTTTTGTTTTTTTTTTGTTATGCCTTCATTAGTTTTTGAAGGCCAACAGTGCAGGCTGTAAGATACGCGTATCTCAGTTAATGGCACAGTTCATTTGAAAATCCCATGTTTCTCCTTGAGTGCGGACTACCTAATGAGAAAAAGAGTCATTATTGTGGGAATTTTTTGTACATATATGGTAACATTGATTTGGTACGGGTTAATTCGTGCGTTCTTCAAACTTGAGGCGTGTTGTGCTTCGTACAGTCGTAGTTCAAGCCGTCTACGGCACGTCTAAAAAAGGTTGTAAAACTTACAAGCACTAAAATATTTTAACCTAACTCTGATTATCCTAAATTAAATGGGCCAAGATTAAATGAAATTTATGCAAATCGTGGCCCTGGCGTACACTTGTGCTCAATGTCTTTGAAACAAATGAAAAGGAAAGGGCCCGTTGTTAAAGTACATGTATTTCGTCACTCTTTGTGTATTTCGTTTGCAAACAGTTACCGTCAAGTCGAGTTTCCCCAGGATGTTGTGTAATAAAGGTACAGTTTCACCGGACCATTACGTGAAACTTTAACACAGAATAAAACAGAACTGTATAGTTGTATCGAGTGTCTTAATTGTTGAAACCAAAGGCGGATTATGCTTCAGTGCACAGGGACAATTATAGCACCCGTGCAGTACTGCGCCACAATGAACAGCCATTTTGGTTCCAAACTTTGAAGTTGGCGCTGGGTGCATTCTACTAAATCAGTCTAAATCGGTAGATTTCTACGCGCGAGCTCATTGATATTTTGTGATTCCCGCACGGGTATTTACTATAAGAGGGGTCATAATTAGGAACAATCATAGAGACATGTCCATACATCACAAATTTGGGACTCGGGGTATAGTGTACACAAAAACTTTCAACCTGTTGGCCTGTTTTGAATAGAGGCGGGCAGCTACATTCAGAACCGAGTGCATAGTTTTACTGCTATTTTGGGATGTTTTCGGGGAAGGGCGAATTAAAAAATCGCATGGCTAACTCTTCTAAATTAAAAAGAAAAATGAAATGCGAGGCCAACTTGTTCCTGAGAGTTACCAGGCGGCGCCCTTTCTGTCCGATTTTGCTGTGCTTTTTTTTTTCTATGGGAGCGTGTTAAAGGTGCAGTGAACTAATTCAATTGAAAATTTGGGCTGAGCTCGTTGGTAGGCCTATGAAAAGGGCCCCCCGGTTTCTTTTGGAAAAGGAGATTATTTGGCGGGGAAAATGGAAGGATTGTGGGAAATGGGCTGGGATCGATTCCCTGGGTTTGGGAGCTTCCATCCGAGGGCAGAGTTGATAAAATTACCAAAAAACGATCCTCAGTGCCCAAGAAAGTAGAAGAAAGCCATTTGAATAATGGATGCGAGACTCGGGACAACGCTCGTCACCCAACGCCCTGTTTGAGCAGTGACGCGTTCGGGCGCTGGGAGACGAGCGAAACTTGGGAACTATCACTTTTCAAGGGGTGAGTTTGTTTTGCGCGAATAGTTAAAATGCAATTCCCTAACACACCGAGAATTGAAAAGAAATGGAAAGACTAGGGTCAGAGCAATAATTTAATTTTGATGAGAAACTCCGGTATTGTCGACTTGTATATTATTGAGCTCTGAACCTTCTTGAGTTTACACTGTTTTCGATGGGACTTGAATTAGTTCACTGCATGGACCCTCTGAAGTGTGCGTTTACAACAAATGTCTGTGGCTGGAGTTCTGGGACAAAAATCACCATAGCGCCACCATGTGTTACAATCGTGCCATGCACCAAATGCAGCATCATGACGCTGTGTTGCACGTGTAGGCGTTCTGTTTGTATTTTGTTCGTATTCGTCATCACACAAGTGCTACGAACTTGCCTACTTGGCTTCATCATTGAATCGTGTCTGCTGAGAAGTGTTCTAATTTCTGCCAAGTCTGTTTGTCTAATTTCTACCAAGTCTATTGTCATCATTGAATCGTGTCGGCTGAGAAGTGTTCTAATTTCTACCAAGTTTGTTGTCCAATTTCAGGAGGTAAGAGCTCTAGTTACTGTCCATTCCCTCTTATAATTGTCACTTTTGCCATACCACTACGTCATGTACGCTCCATGGAGGAAGAAACCGCGAAATCTATCAATAATATTTGTAACTTGTCCCGCACTTACTACTCCAACTTCTAAGACAAGAGAAAGCAACAAGTTGATACATGTACATATAGGCCTATGTACGAGTTCATGTGTAAATTCGTTCTGTCCCTTCACATTAATGTTTGCCATGTATTCAGGGCCTAGGCCTGCATCATGAAAACGTGCAAAGTCCAAGTTTTCTGATTGTTTGTTCGTAACCATTTTGGAGTGATACATGTAGTTTTCTATAAAATTACTTTGGAAAGAGTTCCATGTCATGGCATTGAGGAATAAAAACGGCCTACTGTACATACAACTCCTGATACCCCTGTGTACAAACCTATGGCTATGAGACCTGTCTGAGTGTTTTCTAATGAAATGCTCTGAAATTTTCTTAGCTAAATTTCACTTTTTAAGACAAGTTTTCTTTTTCTCTGGGAAAATTGTTGTCTGTAGGCCTACGTGTATACTCAGTTCTACATGTATATTGCATTAACTCTGTTATCGGGGTATCGGAAATGTTTAGTTTTGCATTGCCATTACTAGATAATCAATAACTTATGCCCTGAGGATTAGTTCTATTAAAACAGTGAAAAAATTTTGTAAAAAATTTGTAAGTTTTTCAAAAGTTTTGATAATAATCGTGTCTGTCATTACCCTGTTATTTCTAATGCTGCCCTGCCCTTGGATATCTATTGCTAGGTGTCTAAAGGCACATTTTTTTCAGAATAAAAATTAGAACTTGCTGCGCTGAAAAACTTTTTGCGTGCATAAAGCGTTTCCCCACGCTCCATTACAATAAACTTGTATCAATCGTAATTTTCTCCTCCGGGGCAGTTAGTCATGTTAGTAGTGAATAATTACATTGGCATTACAGACGCGGTTTTATGTTTTACATACAATTTGAAGAATTTGCAACGGATATTTAGAATTTCTAACATTAATTTTGAATAAAATAGTTCAGGTCTAATGCGATGATTATAGCTATCAGAGAATTAGAACTCAGAAAGAAGACATTTTTAACAATTGTTTCAGACATTGATAAAAGAATGAGCCCACCAAAAAAAAAAAGAAATTTTGCGATACCCACATATTTATTTCTTCGGCAAAATACCAATTTCAGTAATAAGATGAATGTCAAAGTTGTTGGTAAAAAACTTTTGGTGAAAAAAATGAAGTCCTTCCTTTCCAGAGTAACGAGCGTAACGAGCGTAAGGCGACGCAATGCAAGTTTCCCCATCTCATTCTCTGGGCGGATGGCATTTATTTAGGAGAAGACTGGAAAAAATGGAGTCCATTCCACGTAAAATGAAATGTCACAAAACATGGCTATGTTGTTTCCTTTGAAAACAAAATCATTCTTTTTATCTTTACATTAAGCAAAGTGCTTTAAAGGCCGTTATAGAAACTGTCACAAGAGGGTGTAAAACCTCGGTACGTGTATCATGAATATTCAGCATATTTCAGGACCCACCTTCCTACGTATAGTAACATAGGGAGTATGTAAATTTTTTGACTAATATGACCAAATACTGTTGACGCGGGAAAAATGTGAAAACGTGTGGAATTTTGAAATTTGCATGACATTTAGATTAATTAGCATAATTTCTGCGGGGTTAAAATCATAGTGAAGCATTGGAGAGGCAGCAGACAGATCTTGACATATGGAGACTCCTGATCGGTCATCGTGCGATAGCACATTTTGATTTCGTTGATTGAGCTCCATGAGAATTTGAGAAACAGAGACAGTTTGTGGCAATAGCCCAAATCGTATATTTTCTTCATTAGAAAGCGTTAGCTTAACGTAAGTGCTTACGAAGTGAAATCCACAAATTTTTGGAAAGCTAAATCCACGATTGAGAAGTTAATCTACGGAAACCCATCATTGTTTCAAGCCAGGGAGTTAGACTTTGAGACTGTTCGCTCGTCTTAAAACTGACTCCCTTTAGTGGAGTTTCAGTCATAGAATCTTCCTCTTTGAGGGAGAGGCTGCCCCGTTACCCCGAAGAGAACCATAGCGTCGCGGGAACGGAGGACCTAGAAAGGGGGACTTGCGGCCTTACTACCTTATCAAATTGACGGAGATCCCCAGAGCGTTCAGCTGGTGGAGCGATGACACGCTGAAGGACATGCATGAGTACTCTTGTGGGGATAGTAATATAATGAATTTGTAATGATGGGATTAATATATTTTTAGTTTGGGTAAACTCTTGAAAACCAAACTCACAAGCTCTATCAAGGATTTTGTGAAGATTGTAATAATAATAAATTTCTTTTTACTTTTTTGTTGTATAGATTGTTACCAGTTCCTGAAAGTTTTTTTTTTTGTGGCTTTGTTGTCAGTGAGTGGAGATAGAAAAGTGATCAATCTACATGTACATATTTTGGACCCGGTTTGTGACAGAAACCATTTCTTGATACTGCGATAATAGAGACTCAACCTCCACTTGCCTACGCTGCCCACACAGATTTTCTGAGCTATTGTAGAGGAAAATAAATTGAACCAAAAACAAACTGTTATGAATTAAGTTAAAAGGAAGAGTTGAACAACAGCAAGGAGAGGATAATTCAGGAAGGTGAACAAGCCTAAGCAATCTTTGTTTCAAATGTGATCACTACTGCGATAATAGAGTAGCCCTTCCTATATGGAAC